ATTGTGTCTAATCCGGGGGCTTTATTTTGGCAGGCTGTTGTGACTCACTTGGCTTCTTCGTACGTAACGCTTGTGAGCCATGGAAGGTTTCCGCGGCCGGGCTCGAGGTGACCGGCGTCGATATCGTTTTGGCTGGTGAGCCGCCCGAGAAGAAGGTCACGCAACAGAAGTGCTCGCTTTCCTGAGTCCGATACATAGCCGTTGGAAGGTTGGAGTGGTGGAGCAGCGGGTGTGGGCCGCGACTTTGCCCAACGTGCCATCCGATACATATCGACGTCTGTTGTAGCTTCGGAGAACTTACGCCGCCAGTATTGGCGTTTTGCACTTCTGACTATGCGTCGGAAAGCTTTCCTGCTCTCTTCGTCCCTGAAAGTTCTGTATTCACATTTGGCCTGTCGACACTCTCTTGACCACCATGGCGCTGTCCTGTTTTTTTTCACGCTCCCACGTCTGCCGGTAGCCCTAATTGCATCGTTAATAGTCTGGACCAGCTTATCAGCAAGGTTATCGACCTCGCTTGTTGAGGCGATGAGCTGTTGCCCTATTCCATTTGCCCACCTTGCCAGTAAATTGGCAAAGTCTTCGAGGGCGGCGTCGGTCACTCGGAACGGCTGACCGATTTTAATGACCGCTCTTGTTTTGGAGTTTGGGCGGGGGACGTCTCTCGCAAGGGTTCGGTGGTCCGATGTCGAATCTAGCTCAAGTGAGATATCTGCAAGAGCTCCTGCGTTGAACCAAACTAGGTCGAGCGTGTTTCCAAGATCGTGTGTCGGTACGCCGGGTCTAGAAGATAGGTCCATACCATGCTCGGACATCCATTCGGTGAGCGCCTGACCGTCTCCGTGTAGTCTGGAAGCCATGGGCTACCAGTTGGGGTGCACTGCGTTGAAGTCGCCGCCAATTACTGTAGGCCCAGAAGGAACCCAAGATAGCAGCGGCCGTAGATCTACTCCTGGAGCGCGATATACAGAGACAAAAGTGACACCGTCGACCTTTACTGCGGTTAATTCTAGTGATGCTTCGCAGATTGCTTGCTGATGGCACTAAGTACCTTTTCGCGTGTAAATAAGCGAGCGTGGCCTTGCAGGGTCAGAAGCGGTACGAAGAGGCGCATGCTTTTCGAAACCGGGGTGTGACTTGGTGAGCCATATTTCGTCGTTGAGTTGAGTCCAGGGTTCCTGGATCCCAAGCGGACTTCAGGATGATGTCCGTAGCCCGGTCTCCTCTGCCCAGATTAGCGCAGAGGAACGAGATCGTTGTTGCCGTGGTGTCTAGCTCGGTAAGGTTGTGGTCCCTTACAGGCATTGAGTTACGTTCGTAGTTTCGTTGTCGGCAGTAGCCTCGGTGGCTTTCTGCTTTGCTTGGAGTTCGCGGATCGAAGCATTCCTTTCTTTCAGACCCTATTCGCGTATTACTGCCAGCTAGTCTTTCGTTCGCTGCACAGCTTTACCGCCTACCCGGGTTGGTCTTGCCATACAGTGTGGCTCAATCGCAGAGTATGGCCCGTGGCAGTTCATGCACCTCGGAATATTTGTTTACACTCAGATGCTCTGTGCTCGATTGAGCCGCAACGTGAGCATCGTTCCGCTCGTGGGCAGATCTTTGTGGGGTGGTGTCCCCAACACCGGTTACATTGCGCAATTTTGGGCTTGCGCTGGTGTTCGTGTGGGCGACCGCTCTCTTCGAAGAGTCTTTCACCCAGTTTTGGTTTTCCTGTTGCAAAGTGCAACACCCAGTCAGTTGATGGCCTCGCCGTGCTTGTCGCAAAAGCACGAACTGAGATTGGTCTGACTCTGGTTTTAAGGGTCGCTTCTTCAATCACTATTTCTGATGTAACTGGGGTTGGACCTTCAAGGGTATAAAGCCTATCAGGAATATTTGGTGCAAACACCGAGATCCAATTGGAGGCAGCTTCAAATTTCATTTCCGCGCTATCAATTTCATTTCCGCGCTATCTAAGAGAGCGGCACCCAAAAGGAGCGCGCCTCTTGCTCCATCCCCCTCTGCTTGTATCGCAAACCGCGAGTTTACGACAGTGACTTACTTGATTGCAGAGTTAGCCAGGCGCAGCTTGCTCGCAAGGCTTATTTTTATGAAGTGTGGAGACATACGTCTCCACGGGTGGTCGGGCTTGACCCGCAGGAGCACACGCTCATCTGGGCGGGCTGGTTTGGAAGCTGAGGCATTAGGCCTCGGAGTTTGCGTAGGTACGCTGGCTGGTAGCGGTGTTGCCGCGACTGATTGTACAGGCTTTGGCTTTTTCCTCACCACCTGGGTCCAGGATCTCTCAGTAGTTTTGGAGGTTTGTGGTTCATCGCCCTCTATTGGTCTAGTAGGCATTGTTAAAGCCGGCTCTTTGCCTTTTACCTGGCTGCTGCTTTGTCTCGCGAGGATTTGCACTGGTCGTGAAATGCTTGCGGTATTTGTTCCTCCCGGCCCAGAAGCTGGCACGGCAGGGGGTGTAGTTTTGCTGCCACTGGCAGCCTCTAGTGGCCCACTAGGTCGGGGCTGGGGTTTTCCCGGCAGAATGTCTGCCATCATGGCCTGTAGGGCCTCTCCATTCTTCTCAACAGCTCGGCGGAGCTGATGGTCGGTTGTGCCAACCAGTATGTCAATGTACCCACTGATTAGACGCTGAGCCTCTGCAAAGCGTGTGTTGAAAGCCCTCGCTTCGTCTACGAGGAAGTTATTCAAGGTAACGCCCATTGACTCGGTGTAATTTAGGGGCGAGTATTGGCAGCTCGCCTCGCAGATAGGCTCTGCGTTTGTTTGTCTATTTTCGTGATGGTTGGGTGGCCCTGTGAGGACCATTTCGACGTCAGGATGCACCGAATTTGCGGGTGGGAGGGGAGGCCAAGTGCCAGCCTCTGCGGAGGACTGGGGAGGCATGTGTGAGGTGTGTGGCAGTGAGAGGTCGTAGATGGTATACGAAAGCGCTAGTTTCGAGGACTGTGTAGATTAGGAAGTCAAAAAATATCGTTGAAAATGTGTTTTTTTATCTAAGGTCATTGCCTACGCTCCCTGTAAATCCTAGCTTTCCTATCACCAAATGCTGCGGACTAAGCCTCGGTTGATTGTGCCTAGTGCCCCTCACCATCTCCTAGGCGTAAGCGAGTTTGTAAGGCTACTTGATGCTACTGGAGTATTACTAGATAACGTGTAGAAGCCTAGGTGATTCGGAATAGGTTACAAACTCCAAAGCACCTTAGCCTCCCGCTCGTATGATTTACAACAGATATTAATTGCGTATGCAGCTATTTAGCTATTACACAATATCATAGAAACGTACAACATAGATGACTCAATTTAAAACTAAAGCACTCAAGCCTCAGATTTCATTTGCTAGTACCTCTTAAGGCACTGTGCTATCGGTATTCCGTAGGGTACAACTAAGGTAAAGGTGTGGAGTATAGTGGTGATTCCTAAGAGTAGGAGGTATAAAGTCAGCGTAAGGTATAGGATTCGCAGAAGAGGTAAAGTGAGTGATAGGTGAGGTTGGTACAATAACGGCGGTCTTTAGAGAAGAAATATTTGTGTGAGCAATAGGTAACAGTATAAACAGAAGACGTTGCGTGAAGAAGAATATTTCTTCATGCTGGGTATATATGTACATCAGACAATAGGACAGCCCTAAGCTCTATTTCGAACAGTATTACTACGCAATTCTTATGAAACGACCCGATGTTCCTGAGTCTGTACTAGTTGTTTAGGAACTCAATCTAACACCGAGTTGTGTTTTGGCATAGAACTCCCCAAGAGACACCATCCTAGCTTCCACTACGTTTATCCATTAAAGTACCACTGCGAAGTTATGGTGTCTTTTTCTTCATCCCAAGTCAACCCTCATCCGTGAATACCTACCCAGGGAAACGACTCATAAACCATGGGTTATCCAGACATGTCTCCATCATCTGTTCACATTTCTCCGCGCGAAATTTAGTCTTAGCTGTCTCCTTCCCAAGTGGAGTAGGTGCCCAGGCTACTCAAACTATACCAGAGAACACCACTTAGAGGCGGACCACGGCGCCTTCCATCGTCGGGTTGCTTTCATAGTGTCAGCTGTACTCTCGCAGGCGAAGTCTTGGCGCGCACAAAGCCTAATTCGTAAAACTCCTTGCCAAAATTCAGGATTTCGCGCCTTTCGAGGTTGTATCCTTCCTTTGCATCATCTCATGAAAATGTCCTAATCTTTCTCACGCCTATCACAAAGAGCTACCTACCAGATTTGTGCGCCCTGCTTTGCTTCCTCCTGAGGATATAGATATAGGCGTGAGCGTGAGCGTGTATTTGGTGACGAGTTGAGGCCAGAGAAAGTCGAAAAGAAGTGTGGTCATTGAAATGATGATGTACTAAGTAGTACCTGTAAAGCTGGTGATGCTTCGGTAAGACCCTACATCCTTGGGATCAAGTGATAGATTTGGTGGAGGTTCTTGAATCATTGCCTTGTGGGCCAACCTGTTGGTATTGTGAAATTTGGCTGAAGTTGGCTCTGGGAGAATATTTCAGCCACAGAATCGTAGAGGACACCGTATACAGGTGTTCAGTCTTTGAACTTCTATGCCTTCATTGACAGAAGCTTTTCCTGGGTTATACCCATAAACTTGGTTATGCTTTGATTGGAACCGGTGTTGTTGGCAATGAAAGACCGGAATGACTGGGTGTCTTGAATGATCTATTCATTGCATAGATTCTCTGGCATTGAGGATTTTAACTAAACCTCTCGTGCGAGAGATTTTAATACTTCTGTGATAATTGAAAAACTGTTGGTGGCCATCATGAAGCAGACTACTGGATAGAATTATCTGCGAGCAATAAATTATGGACCCCTCGCGTCCCCCACCCAAAAAATTATTAACTGCGGGGTCGAATTGGGAAACATCTATTTGAAGCTCACATGACCAGAAAATAAATTAGACATCGCAATTCCATACATTTCTTCAGTAATATCAATTTAGCTCTTTTTGTTTAGCTCTACATTCGAACCAAGACTTACAGCTGCAATGAGTATTGACTTTCCTGCAGAGGAAGAGAGAATTTTACAGCAATGGAAAAATATAAAGGCTTTTGAAAGACAAGTAGAGCTCTCCAGGGACAGGCCAGCATATACTTTTTATGATGGCCCTCCATTTGCTACGTATGTAGTTTTAACCAACAAATTTCCGACTAAACTACTCCAATTGTGACTGTTTTGATAGCTCACTATTCACAGTGGACTGCCTCATTATGGACACCTTTTGGCATCTACAATAAAAGACATCATTCCTCGCTATTGGTCTATGAAGGGATACTATGTCGAGCGAAGATTTGGTTGGGATACTCATGGACTACCAATTGAGCACGAGATCGATAAGAAACTAGGTATATATGGAAAAGATGCAGTCATGAAGCTTGGGCTTGCAAAATATAACGAGGAATGTAGAGCAATTGTAATGCGATATTCTTCAGAGTGGAGGATTACGATCGATAGACTCGGAAGATGGATAGACTTTGACAATGATTATAAGGCAAGATTTTCTACGCTCAAGCATCAAATTTCTAACAATTCTAGACAATGGATCTCACATTTATGGAATCTGAATGGTGGATATTCAAGCAAATTTTTGATAAAGGTGCTGTGTATCAGGGACATCGTGTGATGCCATATTCCACTGTTCTAACCACTGCGCTCAGCAACTTCGAAGCCAATCAAAATTACCAAGATATTACTGATCCCGCAGTAGTAGTATCATTTCCTCTAGTAGGGGATCCCAATACTTGCCTTCTAGCATGGACAACAACCCCATGGACATTACCATCAAATGTCGCGTTGGCTGCACACCCCGACTTCGAGTATGTCAAGATTTTCGATGAAATTAGTGGAAAGAATTATATTCTATTAGAAAAATTAATGGGAACACTCTATAAAGATCCTAAGAAGGCTAAGTTTAGAGTTATAGAAAAAATAATGGGGAATAAAATGGTCGGTTGGAAGTACGAGCCTCTTTTTGACTATTTTTACGAGGATTTCAAGGACTGTGGCTTCATGGTTGTCAATGCCTCCTACGTTACCGATGACAGTGGCGTTGGTATTGTTCATCAAGCACCTGCTTTTGGTGAAGAAGATTACAACGTTGCGCTAAAAAACAACATCATTACTGAACACCGAGCTCCCCCTAACCCCATTGACGAAAGTGGAAATTTCACGTCAAGGGTTCATCACTTTACAGGTCAGCATGTCAAAGCTGCTGACAAAGCCATCATAAAATATCTCAAAGGAACAGGTCGAATGATAGTAGATTCTCAAATACGACACAGTTATCCAATGTGTCCGCGGTCTGATACGCCTCTTATTTATCGGGCAGTACCATCTTGGTTTATTCGAATCCCCGAAATCATCCCTCAAATGCTGAAGAACATTGAAAGTTCTCACTGGGTGCCAACATTTGTTAAGGAAAAACGGTTTTCAAGCTGGATTACTAATGCCAGAGACTGGAATGTCTCTCGAAATCGATATTGGGGAACACCTATTCCTCTGTGGGTTAGTGATGACCTGGAGGAAAAGGTTTGCATCGGTAGCGTTCAAGAACTCAAGGAGTTAAGTGGCTGCGTGGAGGATTTAACCGATCTTCATCGTGACAAAATCGATCATATTACTATTCCCAGTAAAATGGGGAAAGGGAATCTTAGACGTATAGAAGAAGTATTCGACTGTTGGTTTGAATCGGGAAGCATGCCATATGCTAGTCAACATTATCCTTTTGAAAATAAGGATAACTTTGAAAGAACTTTTCCTGGTGATTTTATTGCCGAAGGCCTAGACCAGACCAGAGGTTGGTTCTACACCCTTCTTGTTTTAGGCACTCATTTGTTTGGCGTTTCGCCCTTCAAAAACTGTGTAGTAAATGGCATTGTTCTCGCCGAAGATGGTAAAAAGATGTCGAAACGTCTGAAAAACTATCCCGACCCGTCAATTATTATGAATAAGTACGGCTCTGATGCTCTTCGACTCTACTTAATTAATTCACCGGCTGTCAAAGCAGAGCCACTACGATTCAAGGAATCGGGTGTGAAGGATGTTGTTGCTAAAGTACTCTTACCCTTATGGAACAGCTTCAAATTTTTTGAAGGCCAAGTCTTACTTCTCAAGAAGAGCGAAGATATTGATTATGTATTTGATCCATCTGCAGAAATTAATAATTCAAACGTCATGGATCGATGGATCCTAGCGAGTTGTCAGAGTCTTCTTCAATTCGTTGATGAGGAGATGGCTGGTAAGATTATTTGGCCCCACAACAAGTAAAGAAAGCCCAAATTAATTGCTCTCAGCATATCGGTTGTATACCGTCGTACCTCGGCTCCTTGAGCTCATTGATAATACTACAAATTGGTATATCAGGTTTAACCGAAAACGCCTCAAGGGAGATTTAGGACTCGAAGATACTCAGCATGCCCTTAATACACTTTTTGAAGTCCTATTCACACTTGTGAAAGGTCTCGCACCTTTCACACCTTTTATAACCGACAATATATATCAGCGCTTACTGCCACACATTCCACAGCATTTGAAAGGCGTAGACCCGCGCAGTGTGCATTTTCTAGAGTTTCCCACAGTAAGAAAGGAGTTGTTTGATCCTCAAATTGAGCGACGTGTTAGCCGCATGCAACGTGTCATAGAACTGAGCAGGGTCTCTAGAGAAAGACGGACAGTTGGGCTCAAAATTCCCCTAAAAACCCTGATCGTTATTCATCATGATTTGACTTACTTACAGGACATTCAATCATTGGAAAGTTATATTAAGGAAGAACTTAATATTAGAGATTTAGTTCTATCATCCGATGAGCAAAATTACAGCGTACAATATAGTGTAACAGCAGATTGGCCTATTCTTGGGAAAAAACTGAAAAAGGATGTACAAAAGGTTAAGAAAGCTTTGCCAGACTTATCTAGCGAGGAAGTGCATCAATTTGTCTTGCAGAAATCAATTGTTGTTGGCGGTATTAAGCTAGAAGAAGGTGATTTGGTTGTTAAAAGGGGTCTTAAAGATGATGAATCATCCAAAAACCTCGAGACAAATACAGATGATGATGTGCTCATCATTCTAGATGCTGAGCTTTACCCTGAATTGGCAGACGAGGGCTTGGCAAGAGAGGTAATAAATCGCGTCCAGCGGCTCCGCAAAAAAGCTGGACTCCAGCCTACAGACGATATAAAGATGGAGTACAAAATTCTACAGGATCCAGATCAGCTTGGTTTAGCAAGAACATTCACAGAGCAATCAAAGTTGATTGAGAAGGCTTTGCGACGACCGGTAACTCAGTATGATGCTTCAAAAGAAATAGACGATCTCATAATTCTGGAAGAGGAACAGGACATTCAAAATGCTAGGTTTATGTTGAGATTTCTCCAGATATGACACACCTTTTAGTAAAAAGTTAGGCTCTCAAGTAATTTACTAAATTAGGGATTTGGCTATAATTTGCTATTAAATCATCAGAATATTCCACTGACTCAATACCCGCGATGGCCAGACTTGGATTTTTTGTATTTAGAAGCACAGCTAGCAACATTTCTTTGATGAAGCCTGTTCAATGGTAAGCATTTTTAAATGTATTAGTTTACAGCCAATTACAATGTAGCATTCTTTCAACCGGAGAAATTCGGTTAGGCACTTGTCTTTCTGAACTGAGTTGTAGTCAGCTACAACACATTTGCCATATACGGAAACCTGCGATCTTTAGATAAATAATTGCTAGAACCATAATAAAATACCTCTGTTGAACACATAGTGACAGCCTTCGCAAATTTAGCAATTGGTCTAGTTTTTGCAGGCATTGTAGATACTTAAGAATGACGGTGGGATTGAGTCTCAATTTGGTATGGTGTATGAGAGACGTGGGCGAGGTTATGTTGAGGCCGTCCATATACGGAAGATCGTCGTGCCGCTAGAGCGGAACGCGAACTGGACATATTACACACCAGCGCGCGTCAGGGCATCTACGCATCTCTAAAAGTTTGCAAACCACTACACCGTTGCTGTCAAACAACCATGCGAGCATGCAAAAAGGAAGCTGCCGCCTAGCTGATCGGATGCCTTCCCCTAGATGCCTCCATTCGGTCGATCTTCAAACTCCCATGCCGGACCAACGACCTTATCGACAGGACCGGAACCTTACTATAGCAATGAAGGTAAGTTAGATCTGCCAGGTCTGCGATATCCAGCATTACTTATGGCCTATTGATAAGTTTTCGTATAGATATCGAGCTACTGCACCAGATTGTCTTGCGAGCGCAGAGCCTGCTGGCTGTCGAACCGCTCCCTACAAATGCCCTATTCTCAGCTTACTATTCTATCCTTGCGAAACTTCGCGTCAGTCCGGATCATGACAATCGTTATGCGCGCGTTCTGTTCCGAATCGGTGGGCTCCGAGGCCCAAAATCTCTCTATGAGAGGTTCGAGGATGTCCTGGCGCGTATGGGCATCGAAATTGAGTTTGATCGGACGGAAGATGAGCGACTTGCATTCTCTGTCGCACCAAATGGTATTTCACGCGAGGAAGCCGGCTCGAATCGCAATCGATCACCGAACCTACTGCCAAATACTCATCAGAGACGAAACTCTGAGAGCACAGTCTGGGAACTTGAAGCTGGGAACAAGGTACAAAAGGATGATAAGCGGAGTAATTCAATTGCTTCTGTTCCATATAAAAATTCAAGATCCAAAGAAATTAGGGAGAACTACCAAACAAGACATAAACCCTCGCAGCCACTTGAACATTCCCTCATTTACTACACACATGAGAGCAAACGCCACGAATCTAATGGAACCAGGCTAGCCCCCCTGCCTTCTAAACCTGTCGAAAAGCCTCTCTCAACCCATGCAGGTCTGCAATATTTCAACGATGCGGCATCATCTCAAAGAAAAAAGCAGGCTACCCACAAAGCACTTTCTACATCAAATAGATTTCATGCTCCAAGCAATCAAAGTGCTCTGCATCCCCCTCTGTCTGAAGAGGATACCACAACCAGTGCTCTGGGTTTACGAAAACTTCCCGATTCAGAAACTGTACTTAGAATTAAAGCATCACTAATCTCAAATAGGCGTCTTGCCATATTTGTTAAGACTCTGCTACAGGAATGGAAGACTAGAGCGAAACAGCTCCAACGAGATAATGTTGGATTAGAGCTCATTGCCTCTTGTCACTACAGAAAAGCAGTTATATCTGCTGCTGTACATAATTGGCGTATTGGATCCCAAGAAAGAAGAGCTCTTCGTGAAACGGAAAAATATTTTGAAAATCTAGAAAATCGTACAACAAGAGCCAGAGATATATTCCTCTGCCATGTAGCCTTGACACACTGGTCCAAACGCGCATCAGAACTTTCCCAGCAAACAGCCCAGGCGCGCCGACAAATTCTTCTTGCTCGAACATTCAATTCCTGGCGCGAATTAACTACCATAGATGACTCAAAAGTCCGCTGTTATATTATTAAACGATTATTCTGTCATTGGAAAAGACGAACATTGTTCATCCGGAAAGAAACAGATATGGCCTTACAGAGACACCAAAGCTACTGTGTTCAGATATCTTACCTCCGCTGGATACAACAGCTACGGGAAATTAGGGCAGATCGATGGCAGATGGATAGAGTGAAGCAAACTATCATGTCTCGTTGGATCGCCACATTCGACCATTTATGGCAGTCGCAAGTTATCGCCGAGACGCACAGAATGCACCACTTACGAATGAAATCATGCAAAATCTGGAGCACCGAGATGTTTTCTAGAGTTGAGAGAGAAAGAGAAGCTGAATCTTATTTCAATCATAAAATTCTCCTAAATGTATATACAAAATGGGCAAAGCAGTCTCGTATTATCCCGGCTCAGGAAGCAGTTGAGGCTAGGGTAGCCAATCGACAATTAAAATTTGCTTTTGACCTATGGCTTATTCGTAGCCGTGGTGAATGTAGAGCAGCAAAGTTAGATCGTTTGAGAATCATAGATGAAGCATGGGTTTCATGGCGCCTTCAAACCCGAACCCGAATGATACGTGAGCGTGTTGATATTCATATTGTGGGACAAGCGTTTTACAAGTGGATTGTCGAAGCTCGAGCACGATTAAGCACTAGAGTCCGGAACGAGAACTGTATGCGGGACACCCTTCAGATCCTAAAGCTCAAGTGGCAGGCAATGCGAAAAAATCGTTTGGAACAGGAAGATTTAGCCCAGGAGATCTTGGCACGTAAAACCCAAAATTATGTTTTACTGCGATGGTACTCAAGTATGGGTCGCTTACAGCAATCTCAGGTTCTGGCTGCAAATTACAATCGGCCTCAGCTACTACAACATTCCCTATCTGCATTAAAGCGTAGATATCAATATATACAGCTACTGAAAAAGTGGTCACGAGATGCCGAGTTCTACCTATCGGTGTCCAAGTCCCTGGTTAAATGGAAGGCATCTACTGCACTATCAAAGCGCGAGAAACGCAAAGCAGCATATGCTCAAGTACGCAGATTGGCAAAAATAACCCTCGTTCGAGTTATATTACGCAACTGGTGCAGAAAAGCACAGAAAGTTTGCAAAATCCAGACGATGGCTGAAAATGTGGTTTACAATCGTGCAATAATTGTTGGGATGGGTAACTTTGATCGCTGGCGTGGATGTACTAGAGAATTGGTTAAGTTACAGGATCTATGTAGGGAAAGAGTGCTTTCTAAATACACAAGTGTCTGGTATAATCGATGGAAAGCACTCAGAGCTCTTGAGGCTGAGGCCAATATCGTGTATCAGGAGCAGCAATTGAGCCGAATCCTTAAAAATTGGGCCCTCAACTCCCTGCAGATACGAGCTCGCTCCACTTATGCATTCGATATACGTGATAAAAACTTCAAGCGTAATTTTAGGAGAATTTTCGGATACTGGCACCAGCAGACAATACTTAGGGAGCCAGAGAAACGAGAGGCATATTCAGACGCAGATTTTTTAGGCGAAACGAATCAAGACGAGGCTTGGTCCGAGTACGGGGAAAATCATGAGATGGAAAGAGAGAAGCGGATAGGAAATACTGATTCTGCAGTTTTGTCGACACCGTTGCCAGGATATCTAAATACACCATCTAAAAAATCCGAAAGAGCCAGAGCTTTTGCAGCTAGATACTCCACGACGCCTCGGGCTCCCCTATCCACACCCCTCGAGCGGGAATTGCGAGATTTATGGCCGCGGGGCGTGATTTCCAGCAGGCGTTCTAGAATGTTAGGTCACAGCAAGCTTGGGAATAGAGATTTGTCGGATATTCCTGAAAGCTTCGCAAGTAAGATAGCAAAGTCCCGGGGTCCATAGTGTTGACAGATAAAGATGAGCTGGTTCGGGTTTTTCGTATTTTGCGCGGGGGAAAATTGGATATTATTGATACCCACAGGTTTTTGTGTAATGTTAGGTGTAATTGGTTACTTAGGATGTAATAATAACTTTCGTACGTCCGGGATATTCCAGAAGGTTCAATTCTATCTGGGTTTATAACGGATAATTGTTTTCCCGACACAAATTCCGGGTCAAATGTTGAAGCCTTTGATTAACAGAAAGGTACAACTGGCTTCCACCCAACTAGACAAATACTCTTCACATATAATAAAAAGACCACAGCGATCCCTTACGTTCCCTAATATGAGTCGGCCAATTGAAAAAGCTTTAGGAAATCTGATACCTCGCCACTCCAAAGCCCTTCCACCCGAACTGGTCGACCTTGCCAGCTCTCTCCTCGTGCAATCTCGAAGCAAATGTACTCTTAAGGCCGAAGAAGAAGTAGCACGCGTATATGTCTGTGCAAATCTTGCCTGTGAACGGTAACTTTTTCCTTTCACATCAATTTCAACCGCTCATCTACTTGCGCCAGGCTGAAGGCAAACCTCAATCTGCCTCCGATCGAGGCGCGTCCACCAATACTCCCCCGTACCTACAAGAAGCTCTTTTTATACTTTGACACCCAGCTTGGCATGACAGCGACACCCGTTCCATGTCGGGGAAAACCAGTGGCAAAGAGGCGCCAAACTAAATCTAGCAACATACCTGCCCCGTCGCCTAGGCCAGCGCAGCCATCGCCGAGCAAGGTCGAATCAACAGCAGGAGTCCGCATGCAGCAACCAGCTATACGAAAGATAAATGGCGCCGCCGTGCGTGCGCGCTACTCGACTCTTCCTATGTGGGTGGGGCCAGTGGTACGGTTTGTTTGCAAGAAAATGGACACTTGCAATGCGATTCCCCACGTACTTGCCGGCATCGAAAGTATCACTTCTCTACCCAGGCCGCGAAAGCAGCAGGCCGAACTCTCAGATACGACTAACCCAGAATTTAAGCTTCCGGCCCTGATCGCTGCCGTTTGGTTTTTTGTAGTCGTCAAGATGCACGGTCGGGAAGAACAGTGGCGTGAGAATCTGGAGAGAAAAAAGCTGATTCGTGACCACCTTGCCGCAGCCAAAGAAAATCAAATGTTACTGGAGAGAATTGGATCTAGTGATGAGGCATGGGAAAGCTGGGTTAAAGTAACAGAAAGAGATGTCAATATATGGAGAAATGAAATTGTCAACGGAAATTGGAAAGAGCTGGATTGGTGGATTAATATCGAAGAGGGGATCGGTGTACGAAACAAGTTCCAGGACGATGAAGATGAACTAGCAAATTCAGACACAAGTGGAGATTCTAATCGTCCAGACTATGTACAAGCCCGTAGGATTAATGATGTAATTTGGGATAAGTACGACTACCTTAGTACACCACGAAAATTAGAATACGAGGCATGGAGATGCAATATCCAGTCTCAAATCGATCAGATGAGTACAGATAAAGATTCGGTCAGGTCAAAATAAAATATTGGTAGTAGCACTGCGCTCCTAACCCGGAAGCCTGGTTTTAAGACTTGATATAATTTTAACTCAGGAATACCGATCTCCTCCAAAATATTACTTTCATAAATTTGTCTAATCTAAATCTTGGTATCTCACTATTATCAAAACCAAGATTTACAAAATCGATTCGGTCTTATCACAAATGAGGAGGAAAATAGCATCGCGAAGATCGAACTCGAGAACGATAAAAAAAGAATTTTTAAATGACACCAACTCATTAAATTGACCTTCACTTTATCAGCAACAATTTCGGGGTAAGATAGAAACTATAATGACTCTCAATATATTGCCACTAGTGAAGCCTATATTAAAGCAATAATAGTTGTGGATATCATAAGCCACGCCTATCTCCTAGTGACCAAGTCACGCACACGAGTCATCATTATGTCATTAGCCTTCTCTTATGGGTAAATATCCAATGTAGCCGTATAATGGAGACTTGCAAGGGATAAGAAAACCGAAGACTACCACATCGATCCTTATATGGAAACTAGAGTCCATGAGTCCTGGTCCCTATATGATGAACCGACCCAGAATATCAAGGAAATGGTGTGTTAGAGTAAGCAGTATGATTAGCGAATTAGGAGTTGAGACACCTCCAATAGTTCATCCTCGATATTCTTTTCGAGATGTTTCTAGAAGATAAACAGTATTAGACTACCACGATATTTAACAGTATTTTTCGATTTTTCATCACAGTGGCCCCGGATTTAGTAAACTGCTAGCCCCCATCAAGGGATATTCTCGCCAGGAGGTAGCAAAAAAACTTATTTTACGAGGTAAATATACTTTACTGTCGAATGACCTAATGACTTAATGACCTTTCATGTATTATCTTAGAAATGATGACTAATTATGTTGATGAGTAATGAGTTACCTGTTTAGGAATGGCGTCAGGAGAGAGGAACAAATACTGTATTTACGTGTTTCTTTTAGTTAGAAGCGAAGAAATAGAAGATATATGTTAACCACCAATTGTTATTACTGCTACAGAAAGCTTGTGATATAAATACCACTCGAGTATTCCGACATTTACTAACCGCCGGATTACTCTGGATAAATTTCATTCCTGGGTATGACAAGTATACAAAATTTTAAAGTTTCGAGGGTCCTTGGATTGAGGATTAAAAATTGATAGATTAACTCGATTAAGCCTATGTGAAAGAGACGAGATCAATTTTAAGGAACAAGCTGTAATATATTACCAAGTTGAATAATTTACATTTCACCTGATCGAATTGTCTGCAACTTATCTGATAATTCCATTACAGTCCTTTCACTCATGTTATCTTTCTCATCGTCACTTTTAATTCAATACCCGATAGCCTTATTAAAAGCCAATTTATATACTTGGTAATCACCGCACTAGTGATGCCTAAGTCACAATAACCACCCCCTTTAGGACAGCGCGTCGCTGAAGAGCCTGAGATCATACGGCGCGTAAAGGGCCGAGCTACTTGAGTTCAGAATTTTCACAGCAAGTCCTGGACAGTCGTTGAAGATACTGTACCTCTCATCAAATCTTTCGCGTGCGAAAAAATGTACGCATTTCTCCTTGCGGTTGCCTTTCGACGCTCTATACAACGCGACACCACAAGATAGCCAAACTTTTCGGGCTCGACACCCAAGCCTAGCCGAAATATACCTTGTAACCCTACTGTTACTACAACAAACCAACCAAAAACTTGGGCTGCGACCGTCGCAGGCTCATCCGCTTCTTCGCATCTGGCTCCAGCTCGGCTCAGAACTAATAACCAACCCTCTTAAAATACTGCTTGAAAACAAATTGTAGATCTCAAGGCCCTCAAAGCTATCTTTCGTCTGACTAGAGAAGCTCGCCTCCTTAGAGCAGATACAACAGCTCTTGTGCAAATTTTGCTCGACCTCAAAGATGGTGTTGCCTCAGTTAACTGCACATCAAGCGGATTCAGATAACCTAATTTTATAACGAATCGCTGAATCTTGAAATAGATAATTCCGATTCTCTAGAGACCTCTTCATCAGGAGCTCTCCGCGAAGTTGAGGACCGTACTGGGCATATTATCAAACGTACTCCACGCAATACTAGGAATCCAGTGTCCAACCTCGTCCTCACCACGCTTGATGATGTCAAAATTATTGCGCAGGCACAGACAGATCTCATTTTATCCGGCGCTCACTAATTTTGCTAGTACCTACATCTTAGCTCTATTAAATAACTTTAATAAAGCTGTCTGATGGCCGCGCGTGAGTAGACTTTGATGCCGTCTAAATCATCTTCCTACCTCTCGGAAATGATGAGAGTGCCGCTTCTACACTTATTATGGCAATCGAGCAGGTTGCTAGGGTTGCCGTTATTTAAGCCGTCCGATGCATTTCAGTAGCTACTACCGAGTAGAGCTTCGTTGTGAACCTTACCGCTACGATACTGCCTGTGCTTCTGGAAAGCGATGAAGTGAATTTTTTCGCAGATGACTTTGCAGGCTTGGTCTTCTCGTCTTGAGCGGCTTCCTTTCCTTTGAGCTGGATACTTCTTGGGCAATCTCGACTGGTATTTTGGTCCAGGTACCATTGTCTTCTGATCTAACAGGCCCAAAATCAGTTATTTTTTTGTCGGAAAATTTTATAGACCTCCCTTCGATAAAGGTCTCACACGCAACATGCCTATAAGTTTTGCGCTATTCCTGTTGGGAGTGGATAAAATGGTCTTCGTTCAGCGCCGGTAGCGGTTATCGACTTTAGAAGCTAATTCCACGTCGAGGTCATATTTGGATTGTCCCCAACGGCTATCAATATGTGAATAGAAGCTACAAAACGATCATGTGGGTAAAAATGGGAAATGGGGTATTCAAACTCCTGAATGAGTGAATAATTATTCATGACGGGCACAAGCCTAGCACTCACAGAGCATGACACGGATAAGGCTAACCTTCTCCTACGACTATATACGACAATAACTCAGTTTGAAATTTTGACTACTTATCTACTAAAAGCTTTTCCTGAGGTAACCACAATATACGTCAAGTATCAGCTCGACATGTTATTCTGACAGTAATGTTACGATCATGTAAGATGAATGGAATTTACATGAATCACGAAACAATAAGTCAGGAATACAGATGTCATTGGGTTCTGATCCTGGTCTGATATGAGGTGATATAGTAAGGCTTTAGATAACTCGCGTAAGAATGATAGGCCTGACATAGACGAGAGGTCTTCAATTTTAGATATGCTTGAGTTTGCATTCGACTTCGATTCGGATGCGACTCTTCTTGGCTATCCTATATGTGCAGAGCATACTGAGCGATTACAGCTGCACCAGTGGAAGGTGAAGAATTTGTCTTTACAGGCAAACTCTTCCTGAAGTTTGTTTATTTGTTTGTATAGCAACATGCCAGGTAATTGGCATTCTCCGCCCCCTTATGGGAGCTTGAGCACGAGTAGGGCCGATCTGCATTAGGTTAACCACCACTAAGTATGTAAACCTCGTCCCACTTAAATGATCGGACTGCCTCAGACATCAGATATGTATTGACCATGTCAAGTTCAACCGTGCAGAGTACCCGATTCTGACGTGCCAGACATAACTTCATCTCCTCTCTTAGTCAATACGCACCCAAGCACTTAGAAACTTCCGGCCCTTGCGAGTTTACTGTCCGTTCAATCAAAGCTTTGCCCTGTGCCAGTCTCTCACTTCATCCAGAGGTTATATTCTTCATTAGAAGCCTCACTAGTCACCCACCGAGACCTCCGTGTTGGCTTCTTTTTAATTCTGCTAATATCACCATCCCAAGAACTTTGAGGGCTGTCTATCTCTACTATAACCCTAATCTTGGAGGCGGAATATAGTTCGAACAAATACAAACCTTTCACGGAATAATAAGAGGGGTTAGAATGATGGTTTACTATTTGCAGTCAAATCTTGCAGGCATAAGTAGGGAAGGGTAATGTAACAGTGAACTACGAGCATGTACATCATAAAGCGTAGTCTACAGTCGAGTTGCCTTCTCCACGCAACATCTTCTCAATATTATTCTCATTCTAGATATTCCATCTCTTCTTGTGGAAGATCTTAACCCCCTATTTACTCACACTTGTACCCTGTGGACAAATAGCATACAAACTCCTCGAGAAAACCGAGGCATTGATACCTCGGCCGTTGGGGGATTCTCTAGTCAATCTCATTGTTCCTATCATGACTCTCCATAATTAGTGAAGGCACGCCTAAGCAGTGGTAAAGGGTCTAGTTGTCATAATAACACAGTTGTCTAGGAGTGGAGAGGACTGGTGTTATTATTGACACTGGCATCGAGCTAGTCCGAGAAAACTTTAAAGCGGTCCTCGTTCAGGTCTTCAGAATGCGTGCTACGCTTTGTAAGATTTCCGTACCTGAACCACATCCTATCTTACCTATCTTGTATAATTTCTCTGTCCGTTACAATCAACGTGCTGGCGAAATACGTTGGTATATGTCGGTTGAGAGGTGTATACAAGTGTATGGGTTTCGAACAGAATAATGCATGTATTATTGAAAGTCTCTCTCTCTCTCTTTAGCCATCATAGAATCTAAGTGTTATGGTGCGACATTCTTGAATCGGGGTTTGGGCTGAAAGTACAAGGAGAGGTTCCAAAGTAAAGGTTCTCGACAAATCTAGGGCAATCATACTTAAAGTATGATCTAATTTAATGCGCCGGCTTATATCGAGCTTCTTGAAGTGAGGGTTGGAGCCAGGGCTAGATCTTGTCTTAGGCTGAGTCGAATCATTGTGCAATCTTTAGTTATACTTAAAGAAGCTGGAGCTGCCACAAAGTAGCTCTCCAGCTTCTCAACCTTTCGTTCCTTTAATCTTTAATACTCATAGTCTGGTATTCAGTCTTTCATTACTCGTTGTATTCATCGCACTTCTTTGGATCTAAAGTTATCAGACTACTTCGCTTGTTCCGCAACCTGACTTTTTGACTAATCTCTTCCAATTATCCTTCGTCTCTTCCGTCCTTGACCACCTGGCACCTTGCTAGTTTGAATACCTCTGAGTATTCCTTGAGAAGGATACGTGGGACTCGGTATTATGTTGTAAATTTTGATTAGGGAGTCCTACTGCCAAGGATGAAATCTATCGTTTGATATGAAGGTCACGTTGCCCGACTAGCTTTATTTTTTTTGCATCAGATTTTAATTGCGTATGTAGCTATCTAGCTACGACACAATATCAAAGAAAAGTATAGAATAGATGATTCACCGTAAAGGAAGAGCACTCATGCCTCAGATTTCATTTGCAAGTACCACTGCGAAGTTATGGTGGATTTTTGCCCGACTAGCTTAGTTAACACGAGTAGGTGAAATGTCCCCCTTAGACAGCATCGTACGAATGTAATAACTTGAATGCTAAATAAAAAGATTCACCATTTATGCAGTCAATTAGCAAGAATGCACGACCAAACTTGCGTGTAACTAGAAATTTCTTCATCACAGTATCATAAGTTTTTACAAGAGAAGTTTCAAGGTTTTTTTGTCCAAATTCAAGCGATCCGTATCTGCGAGACCTAAAGAAAGTGGAATTCTCTTCGATATGATGTGTTAAGCGATTATCTCTATCTTTGTATTTATGCCTACAGTATCAACAGAGTTATTCCCAATATGTTATAAGGCGTGCTTTTATTGATAGGAATATTAACTATTGAATCTTTTGTGTTGCTGCCTCCTTAATTAGCTTTGAATTATGGAAATTTTAATCCAAAGATCAAGCTTCTCGATGTCACTTTCATTTTAGGACGCCTTCTTGATGACCGTGATGAGAAATTACAGTCAGCTCTGCACAGACAAGGGCTTCAAAAGTGTAATAATGATTTAACCTGGATAGTAATGCTGCTTTTCCCAGCATCATTTGTACTCTCCACTCAGAACTGCCGAAAATATTGTCGCCAATACACTAAGGTATCCTACTAAGCTTGAACAATAGTCAGATTAAACTTACCGCCACGCTCAATTTCTTCACCTTCTAGCGGTGCCGATTTTAAAGCTCAACGTGCTCTGCATTACTCGAATGTTCTAGAGGCATCGCATCCGTATTTAAGTTGGAAGTAAATTCAAGTATCTCTAAGATTGGTAACTTTTTATCAATGTCGGCCCTACTATTCTCTTTCCAGTTCTCCAACACAATCTTACCACAAACCAACTCGCCCCGACAACTGATTAAGTAGTTGCACTTGTTGCAATCGGGAGCTTACTTTATAATCTACTGGTCGTTTCCCACTACAAAATTACGATACCAAGCATACCTACAAGAAGGAAATTGAGTCATAATATAAATATCTTGAGTCTTGGCTCATGGGGATCAATTGCTCAAATAAGCCTCATCAACCTGAGGGAGGATAAGCGACTGGGATGTAAAATGAGAGAGAGACGCTCTCACCAACGAGCATGCTTGGACTGACGTTATTCCAGAGGTATTCGACTTTAGAACGTTTTTGGGCGCCAAGACCAAGATTTCGGATAGTGTTGCCGACTCTTTAAGTACAGGACGAATCACGTTTGCTGTAGTACACGGAGGTATGAGGAAGTGACTTAGTCATTACGAAAACGGTCGGTGCAGGTCAAGATGTTGACGTATTAATTGATCTTTTGGTGGACAACATCTGGGGATTCAGGCGAGGTGCAGGGCACTAATACTAGACAGTTTGTTGTTACAGTCTGCCCTCGTTCTTTAGAACTAGTCGCCTTGGAAATATTGAGTCTTTCGGAATTAACTAACCGTGTTATGTCAAATGTGATGCAGGGCTTGCGCCTGACACATCAAAATAACAATCAACAATTAGAGAACTCTACTAAGAATGAGATATCGTTGCCTTGGTCTGTAACTTTTATCCAGAGGTTAGGCCTCCAGAGTTAGGGATGTTTCAGTAATAGGGTTAAGCTAGAGATATAGACAATAATCAGTTACCAAAGACATGATTGAACGGAAAGATAAAAGGTGGGAAACGTTGTTTAGCGACTGCATAAGGCTATTGAATGAATAAATGTATTCCTGATTCTGACCAGGAGACACCAGGCAAGAAGGAAGTGACAAAGTAAGGGATATGTGGGTATCAACAGCTCAGCTCTGTAATGAGATGGTATGACCATGAAGGTTTGGAGAGGCACATATTCCCCGCAGTTATAAAACTGATTTTTTCCGAGCCTGTCAGCTTCAACACGTCATAAGTGCTCTGAATGCCTATTGCTTATTACCTGTAAATATAGAACACCCATTAAGTGTCAATCTGTCGAGCTAAATATAAGCAGGATCAAAATGCTTTTCAAAATCTAAGCATCTTGGTAATTTCGTGAATAGACATGGTATTGTTGGAAAGTTCAGCGTTTAAATCACGAGTAATTCACACGATAAGTAAATAAGGGTGCTCTCCCGTTATTCCATTTAAATCTGCAATAGGCCATTTCAAATAGGATAATGGATTATGCTTTCAAAGCTGGTCCAAGAAGTGGCTCAATTCCTTCTGCAAGTCATTGAACCAATAACCTCAGATTAGACTCGGAGATTTACATTACTCTACCAAGGAAATTTTTCATAATCATACAGGTCAATTCTAACTTGGCCGGTAGTAATTATAGATTCACGTTACTGGGCATTTTTGGCTTGGAAAATTATCGGCTCAGAAAATATAAATTCACAGAGATCAGAAAATCTTCACATAAAAAATGTCTTCCTACTTAAACAAACTAAGGGTCGATATCTTGACAATTTAGACCATGGAACTCATATGATGCAACCTTGGCTTTCTCACCAACTTCATCACACTCAGACCTGAGTGAGGGTGTTAATGTTTATACATCTCATATGTATGGTACACTGCTGGTTAAAATTCTTGCGACTAGAAGGCTGCTGTTCCACCACTGATCATTCGACTGCGAGCCATGGAAATTAACTTGTTGGAGTTGTTACTGCATTGACCCTCCAGACAGACTCCCGGCAATTCAGATGACTTTTTTGGACAACATGTGGAAATCGCACAGATATTTCCAGAACTACCAGCTGAACAGTCCGAATCAGTTGCACATGCGGTAAGGCCAGAGCAGGCAGCGTTTTTCCCACAGAAGCCGCCATTTCCTTCCATCGTTGCGGATGATGAGAAACAATAGCAATCTCCCCCCTCCTTACATTGACTAATGCTGCCACAAGCTTGGGCCTGGCACTGAGAGCTTGTACATGAGCCTGCCTCACATAGACCTGTTGGGCAGACGTGTCCGCAGGCACCACAATTCTGAGGATCGTTCATCTTATCAGCAGTACATGTCGGGGATGCTTCCGATGTGGTTGTTGACGTGGTAGTTATCGTGGTCAAGGTCGGTAAAATTGTCGAGTTTTGGGTAGGCATTACAGGAATTGTTAGAGTCGTACCAGTAGTTTCAGTGCAAGATGTCGAACTAGAGCAGTCATATTCGTCGTTGCAAGTCGATGTATAGGATGGAATTTCCGAAGAATCCGTGCATTCCGGGTCTTTCGATACCGTTGTCGCTACCTCAGGACTTTTCGTAGCCGTTGCATTTTGTACTGGAGCTGTAGCCGTGATTTGCTTAAAGGTGTTGCAATCGCTTTCAGTAGGGTGTGTCTGTTGCATTGCCCGACGCGCTTCGACTAACTGTTTTACACAATCGTCTCCAACACAAGACGCAGCATTTTGGCCACTAGAATTGATTAAAGAAACAGCCGTTGCGGCAAAGTAAAGGATAAATAGTGGGCCGTACATTTTGATTCAGGACTGTAAGCTTTAGTCTGTAGTTTTGAGGTGGAAAGAGATGAGTTGGATGAAGATGAGGTGGATGAATGGAGGTGTCTTAATGCCTCTATATAATCTGCAGACGATGCCATATCTACGCTGCACCAACAGGATTTCTTGATGAGCGGGATGCACCGTTACATTCCAGGCAGCTTTCCGTTGGAGTCCGGAGATTAGGTGAACTCGTATACATTCGAAGCCCGGTATGATCGTACATGCAAGTTTTCCCTAAGATCAACGTTTAGATGTTACCATGCTATCTTTAACGGGAGTAACTCATAGTCGCGCTAGCCACTCATGCAATAAAGCGACATAGAGTATAACTAATTAGATGAGAGGGTTGCAGCATATTTTGACCATCAAAGTCAATAACTGCTGGATGTGTCACTCTGCAGACTTCGAGGTCTGAACGTATTTGAATAATTTCTCATCATAATTTATAGTTTACTTAAATGACCAAAAGATTTTTAGTAGGTCGGTCTGGGAAGATATATGCCTAGTGACCATTTCTTAATAAGTCCATATCATGGCGATTTATGCTCAGGTTGATCGTGGGGACAATCGAGAAACTCTCTAAATCATCTGCTTTACATTTAGGACTTAAGGGTTAAGAAAACTATTCTGGAGTCCCACAGTAAGTTTTCGACTGAAAGTGATTTGTTGTGCTCGTCCGATGGGATCTTTGGCTGCTCCAGCTGAAAAACGGGATCAAAGCCGGCTGGATTTATTCCTGGATGACGAGCTTGCCGACGGGTGTAAGGATAATGCTACAGCTATACAGTAGGCCAAGGGAGGGTACAGAAGACGTGATACCCGCTCATTTTAGGGAATAATCCTCTATGCCGTGTCTTTACTCCGCCAAAGGCTGTGTCCTACCATCTTCGATAGCTTACCTCTCACACTGTGGCACACTCGCGATTATCCTTCAAATTTTTTATTTAGAAAGAAATCATGTAGCATTGCTGGTGGGTAGAGGATTTCTTTTGTGTGCAAGTATAAGCGACCGGGCATTCTTCCTCAAAATCGGAAATCGATATAGCCCCTATACGATGCATGTTTAGAGGGATCATCAGGGTAGTCGGGAAGCTGCTTAAACTTCAGTGACCTGTAAAGTTTGCGACTTTATCGCCCTTTTAGCCCCGCTGCACCCTGAATTCCGAGGATACTGACAGGCTACACACGCTGAATGTGATTTGAGGGTTAGTTTAATCCTCGAAATATTGGGTTCTGGACTACGGGAGGCGGCAATCTGCGAGGCAAGTATTGAGTCCACTCGTATCTTTTCCGGATTTGATTTGAAATTGATCCAAGACAAGAAACCCACCCAATCCTAATCTGACTGGATTCCCGAGGGCCCCAAATTGCACTTCGTAATGTGGATTTTCTGGAATCCTCGTAGCGACGTGGAACGCGTATACCACTATCTCAAATTCTTCCCAAATTTTTTGTTTCTTTATGTTGCCATCGAGTATCTCGGCTTCACTCAGTCAATGGAAACTCACCGACTTTGCCTTCAATTTGCCAGCCTGATTTCCAATGAGATTGTCTGGTCTAAACACCACTTGGACATTTATTTTATATCTTAAATGATATTTGTAGCAGCATTAAAAGAACTCACTAAATTAAGTAGGCTTAATAACTGAAACAATAGTTTCAGATTGTACTAGAGGCTTACCAAACCACGTCTTGTCAAATTTTTGCCTCGACCTCGCACTTCTCGATTCAGATTGTAGATTTTTATTTGGTAGACGGATCGCATCAACAGAAGAACCAAGACTATTAACCCAGCCTCGTAAGCCATGAAACTCCTTGTAACACTGTTAGTCTAGAGGGATATGAATTGAATTTTATCGCTAGGTCCAGCATGAACTACATCTTTTTCCGTATATAAAACTATCTGGCTGTGTACTACTTGCAGAAATCTATTCTTGTATGCTAGAGTTTACATTTATTTGAATTTTGAGACAAGCAAATAATTTTCGAGAGCTGTGCTGGGTTGAAGATATTCCACGTAAGTATTGAAGATAGGTTGAATAAGAGGTTGTACTGTATTAAGAAATTAAAAGGTAATGTTAATATGCTTGAGTTACATCTAACACATTATAGCTATAGACTGAGTAGCTCTAATTACTAAGAGGTTAACCTTAACGCCAATGTTGATAACTGACTCTTCAACAGTATGTTTTGGGCGCTTGTTAAGGCTCCGTATCTCAATAAATGGTGAACAAAATTTTCAGTAAATTTTATGTGAAGAATTGGAAATCTTAAATCAACACGGATAAACGAAACCCATCCCCCACACAGTACTTTGCCTTTAATCCTGCCATGAATATCATATGATAAAAGGTTATATTTTCTCTTATCTTCTAGTATTGTTTACTTTTCAGAAGCCCATGTTTAAATCTGATTTTTGTGAGGATATCACAGCCTACTCAGTTCTCTGTGCGAGCTATGATTGTTTGATGACCCAACTTTCGGTAAATAAATCTATCGCTGTTTCCTAGGGTGAAATTGGCTATCCTGAAAATTAGGGCTAGATAACAACTCGAGCCTTGATACTGCTTGGTTTAAAATATAGAGCTATAAGCCACCTTCAAACTCTCTGAAAATGAGAATTGGAGTGCTTTAAGGTATGTGTAAAGCTAGTAATTTGTCCCTTCATAAACAGGTTTTAGCGTGGCAGTATGAACTGCTCGGTGAAAGTCAATTAAACAATTTGAGACTTAAAGTCATACTTGATGGGGTATGAAGTAAAATTATTTTTAACCCACGAAAAGCAGGCAGTGAGGTAGACGGGTGCATACGCAATTAGAATCTGATGCAAAAAAAAAGAGGTAGTCGGGCTCAATGACTCTAGCATCTCGTTCGGCCTAGCCTGTAACAGCAAGTAGAGAAAGAGGACCGACCACTTGCGCGCATTGTTCCCTACGGATATGGGGGCGCAATAGACTTCATGAGCTGAATTAAGATTGAACTCGCAATTCCAAAGAAGTTAGCCCATAAGGCACTGATTAAATACCCTCCACCGAACTAACTTTTACCTTCAAAGGAGATCAATTCCCGCCTAAGCCTCATCAAGTTTGCAAATAAGACAAAGTGTATACTCACTTCAATGACTACAACTCTCCTCGACTTAGACTGTGGCTTTAGGTTGCCTCCAAATACACGCACACGACATGATGAATTTACACAACTGGGCCAAAATCGGGGTGCAAAAACCTGCCGAGGCGTATCTTTGAAATAGTCGTGAGAGATACTAGAAGAGATTGATGAGACAACAAAAATGATGATTTTAGAATTAGATGAGATAACAAATTTGAATGGGGATGAAAACACAAAACTTTTCAGCGGTATCCCCTATCATCAGTTCTCGCTGTAAAGTTTCCACGACCAAGGTTGAGTATCACCTTCGTCCTTACTTCCATAGAGATTTCCTGACAGTCTCACGGTCGTTATCGTCTTCGTCTCTTGGGAAAATCGTCGTAAAGTTATCCACCTTCAGATTAGATGGCAGGATCTAAGCCCTACTGAACATCCGCTGTTTTTCATGTAGGAGAAGCCATCCAATGAGTTTCCGGAGCGTACCCAGCACCCGATGTTGCGATGGTGGATTGGATCGAGTTGACCTCTCTTTTTTTTCTCTTCTTTTCTCTTTATTTTACTTCAAGTCGTTCCTGCGGACAGTACTTGATTATCACGGCCAAGTGCCGGTTAGCTCAGTCTATGTATGTTATGATATGGAAGCACACTAATCTTAAGTTGGACAGTCAAGGGTACGCATGATAATTTTGGGCTCAACACTGTAAGGAATGAGGCCGGCAAAGACGAATTCTTCACCTTCCAGTGGTGCCAGTTTAATCGCTCAGTATGCTCTGCGTATCTGGGTTAGCCGGGAAGAATCGCAACCGAATCGAAGTCGAAAGCAACCTCAAACATATCTCCATTTGAAAACTTCTCGATAATGCCTCTCTTACCATTAACATCTGAGACCACATTCTTTTTCTAACCACACATCATCTCGCCTCAATGGCCGATAAAGGAGTTTCTCAAATTGTAAACAGGAGCTTGCCTCATTTATTACCGGCCATCACCCACTACAAATTTACGCCACTATTTATACCCGAGAGAAAGAAATCAAGTCGAATGATACAAAGCTTCGGTCCTCATTTTTGTGGAACTGTTGCTTTAATGGGATAAAAAATTTGAGGAGGAACAGGCGGCTGAGATGTGAAGCGAGGGGGGAAGAGATTTCTGAATTGAATGCATTTCGTATCAGGCTTACGCCCTACACCCAATAGGCGTGATACGGATCTGTGCTCCCTAGGGACACACAACAACCTAAGTACGTAGTTTGCTTGTCAAATCTATAAGCAGAAAACAAAAATAAGTGATTAATTTCAAAAAAATATGCGCAGGGCGCTCATTCTTCCTCGTAACCCTTCGTGCGGAAAAATTTTCTTCGGCAGGACTTAATCCTCCCGATTTGGGCTCTGCGTCTCGAAGCATTTAGATATTATTAAGAATTGGAGTTATTTTCTCTCTCCCTCTTCTGCCAGCATCTCCCGTCCTCTCGGTGGTGATTCGTGCTTCACATTTCTCCACTGCCGTAAAGCAATCCGAAAATCGGCAAAATGCTTGGGATGTTTCTCTCTTCCGAAAACGCATTTGCAGTTTTTCCATTCATGGCAAAACCTTTCATGGTAGTTCCTGAAATCGCCATGTCCCGTCCTTGCTGCGACTATTCGGTGATGCGCCCACCTCGGAAGTGCTAGCTCCGGTGAGCGTTTTTGTTTCATTCGTAGATCCAACTCCTCATAGCGGCTAGGTCCATATTCCAACCACCAGCATTCTACCGCCTCTTCATACCTTTGCCTGACAACCCAGGTGAGGGCTGCGAATGTGTTTTTAAGTTCGCACCTTGTTTCTGGAGTAGCTGCATCTGTTTCAGCTGGGAGGTACCTGAGAGCCTCCTTGGCCAGTCCGTGACCCCTAAGTGGGCTGGTATCCACCGGATATCCACTGATCTAGCTTGTTGTACTAGTCTTGTGAATATTTCCACCATAGACTGAGTGGATTTCGTTTGGCCGGTTTGTAAAGCTCTTATAGCTGTGGAGTTATCGAGGAGCACCTTTATCGGACAGTCGCCTGGAGATATCTCTGAAGAGGGGGACTATTCTCAACCCCTGTTAGTGGTGTCCCCTACGAACCTCCAGCTCTCACTATAGAATCTGCAGAGCCGAGATTGAATAACAAAGTCCTCACTTCGAAGAGGATTCCCAATCGCTTTCGCGGTCTGTATCGTCTTCATTTCTCAACACATTCCCCTATCACCATTATCATGAAGCTAACCACGATCAGATCAGATGGTAGGGTCGGAGCTCTACTCATCACCAAACCTTGATCACGGAGGAAAAGCCATCCGATGAGTTTCCGGAGCGTACCCAGCACCCGATACGGAGATGGTGGATTGGATCAAGTCGACCTCGACTGTTACAAAGAAGGGAGATATAGATAAACATGCGCACCTTGTGTGGTCCAGGTGTCTAGGCCTCGCCTGGCTGGGGCTGCAGATTTTTTGAGACTTTTTCCCGCGCACGCAGTTTCCATTGCTACCATTTTTATTTCTTTTGGGTAGAAGGTTCCGTGGAAAAGGTGGCTGAATATCACGGGTAAATACTGAGCTGAATGGCTATTCATCGAGGGGAATATATCAATGATCATTGAAGTATTAAAAGCGACAAGGAGCAATGTACGAGGTGTGGCGTGGGTCAAAGAGGAGCCCAATGTGCTAGATGGTCATGGACTAAAGTAATACAATTAAAACACACATATATCTCTGAAGACCACGCTGGGACTGACATTTCAGCACGACCTTCGGCAACCACTTGGAAGGAGGCTAGAAAGGCAGAGGATGAATTTCCCGAGGTAAGCATAAGTCTGCAGCGCCCAGCTGGCCGGCCTATTCGAACGCTTCGGAAGGGTCACTACGTCTTCAGATCTGGTTACAATGTCGGTATTAGAAGAGCCCCGCACCCTGTGGTTTTTGTGATTTTTCCGGCTGCCATACACCCGCAAATTGGCCATCTTTTCGTTGGCTGGAGAGGGGAGATAATGAAGGACAAATGGCTCCTCTAATGTGTGGTCGAATGAGGACTTGTGGGGGGCAGTACTGTTTGAGGGGAGCTGTATGGGAGGCATAGGAGGGGAAGTACTACTAGCATAGGTATCCTTGGCTTATTGTGGAGAGGACCTGCATGTCCTACATGGTCATAGACTCAGAAAGGACCATAAAATAAATTAACAATAATAATCCTGCCTTTAACGGGGCTTAACCATCAACGTTTGTAGAACAAAGTCAAGCATATTCCAGTTCTTAAAATCATTAAATGTAACTAGAGCCTTCTGCTAGATTCTCAAAAATCCCCCATAAATTCAGACTCAGTAATGACTATATTGTATATCTAATACAAAATTGTAACATTTTTTTCATTTCTGGCCATGAACTTAAGTGTAAAAGGTGACTGAAACCTACTGACAATTATTGGACCCAATGGTTATGCATCATTGATAATATATGAGAGATCATCTCACGTAACAAGGGAAGATTAGAAAAATTTTCGGCGCGTGGCCTGATTCATAGTTAACCCCAAGCTTCTAGAGAGTCGTTGACTCAGATGGCAAAATAACAACAGTCCAAATTTGTTGTGCTACATGAAAAATAAAATTATTTGATAATGTATGACTAAACCTTACCCTAAATATTGTGTTGGGCTTTACAGATTACATGTCTATCTTAGAAGCATATAGCATAATGATAGTCTGGTTTCATAACCAGGGAAGTTTACCTGCGATAAAATTAGTTGATTTTCCGCCAGATTGGCTGCATCCAAAGCGAGACCGATAACGCAGGAATTTTGTGACAGTCGTCACACACTCAATCACAAGTGTAAGCAATTAGAAAATGTCTTACCTAGAATGAATGGATGGCCTGAACTAAGGCCACCATCTACTGCCCAAGCCTGCCCGTTCACATAACTACTCTCATCACTTCCTAAAAATAACACAACTCGAGCAACTTCATCGGCATGGGCACCCCGGCCAACAGGATTCAGCTGACCAATCTTTTTTTCAATTCCCCTGGCCCTTGCTGCTTCAAACAAAGGGGCGGTCATGCCTGTTTCGACTATACCTGGGCATAGGGCATTTATTCTGATTCCAGACCCAGATAGCTGATATGCTATAGTTTGGGCCAGAGAAATCACGCCAGATTTCGAGGCTGAGTAGTCGGTAGGTCCAGCATTAGCCCGAAGACCGGCTACTGACGCAGTGCAGATAATGCTTCCTGAAGGTGTTTCCTTTTCCGCAGACAACAACATCATTGCAGGAGCACTATATTTTGCTGCTATATGTACACTGTTCTCATGACGTTAGTCACCTTTTATGAGTCAGGTAATCCTCACCTAACAAGGTTTGTGTTCAGTGTATGGAGAAATTCGGCTGATGAGATTTGAGTAAAGGGTTTGAGTTGACCAACTATTCCTGCATTCGCGAAGAATATATCTAATCTACCGTAAAGCTTTATAGCATGATCAGTAACTGACTTAACGGCACCCTCGTCCGCAGCGTCAAATTGTCGAACGTGAACCTCGACTTCAGGATATTTAGAAGCAAGTTCACGCTTGTGAGTTTCGAGTGATGAATTATCTACGTCGCATAAATAGATGGCTCTTGCACCATTCTGTGCCAGTTGATGAGCTGAAGCTCGACCGATACCCATTGAAGAGTTCGCACCTATCGATTCCCTTAGCAAGGTTGGTTCTGTGATGAAGAAATTACCTGAATAAGACCTGTAACAATTGCGACTTTGCCCTTGACTCGAAGTCCTAATGAGCTGGGGGCAACCTCTTTGATGTTCGGAATATTTTCGAACATGCCATTTTCCTTAGCGGATGGCTTAATTTGCCCACTAATAGCCGCTAATCTACGGCTTGCATTTGATGACATGATTGATGGTAAGAAATCCACGATGTATAATATTATTATTTAAGTATTTTCTGAGTCTGACTAAGTAGGACAATGATGTGTTCTGCTGGTGGGGTTGTGGATACAATAAGACTGGTACCGATCGTTGGAGCCGAGTTATGGACCACTTTGCATGCTGATCCATAAATCCTTGCAGACAGAAACCCTTAGTGGAACATCTGTCTCAATAACCCTATCCAAATGCTCGGGCCGAACCTCGCAGATGTCTTACAATTATTTGTAATTTTGGATCAACATAAATCATAGCATATTACTATGAATTAATTGAGCATAACATAGGTATTCTCAGCTTTCAACCAGAATATACTTACATGTCCTTGTAATTAATATACAAATTACGAAAATAAATACACCAAAAAAATGGTGCCTGATTACATTCTATCAGTTCCAATCAGAAGCCAAAGACGGAACACCTGTCTACGGTGTCCTCTACGTACGTTAGAGTCAAATTTTATCCCAAAGTCAACTTCAGCCGAGCTCTACAACACCGAAGAAGCTGGCCCACGAGACTATGATTCAACAGTTCCTATTCTTCAAAATTTCCCCCCTGACATATACTATTACCAAGGCCTTTTAAATCTGCAAGTGCATTCTTTTTTTGAGTAAACACACCACCCGTCAAATCGTTCTCTGGCCAAAACTAGCCTCCAAACTTTTACACACGTCAATTTTAATATCTTCAGGGACAGGAAAAATGTTGGCCCAATAATCTATGAGGCAGATTTCCAGGATGGACGGCAGAAATAATTGGACATACAGGCAAGGTGACCCGAACGGAGGATACAATCTTGAAAGGGATTAGGCTACAATTATAGGCTAGCGGTTTTCCAAATTGAGCATTGTGCGCTACATAATTTATTTTGCGAGGGGGTAGGCCACACAAGAAACAGGGCCAGGGCTGGTTATTGCGGCGGCATGTCATCTAGACTTGTCTTCCAAGTAGGGTCTGGATAGGTTTGGCATCCAGCCTGCTTGGAACGGGAAATCATTGGTTCGAATTCAGCAAGATTCCATCAAATTTCTCGCGGTGCTTGGTGCGTAGATGACGAAGGCATCCTTGGATAATCGAAGGTTTTGAAACGTCCCTTCGATAGGTATTCAAAGAGGATGGTCAACTGGCTGTGTATGCAAACAAATACCATAGCGGTATTTGTGAATAAAATACAGGGTATGAGTGTCGCTGAAACTAGATTAATTACCCTACCTGTATACAAGACACTGATCATGTGTACTAATTGTGAAGTCGCATACACGCAAATGATATGAAAAAAAAATATATTCGTGCCCGTAAAACAGGGGGAATCGGAATAATCTTGCTACTTGGCTGATAATTTCCTGTCAAGAAGCGCATAATAACTAGACAAAACGACCAATCTCTTAAGAAAACCTGAACATATTCGTGTCGTCTACAGGATGGATTGGGTTTATGGTATGGTAAGAAGCCATATTTCTGGGTTTGGACAAAATAGGTGTAGCCTCTGTTCCTCAATTGATGGATTTGGTGTTGTGAACGTTAATGGTGCAACCCGGGTTGTAAATTGAGTCGATCTAGAATGGGTACAGGTTGGTTGGGCTGTTTTATCCCTGCTGATTTAATCATGATATTTATGTATGATTTATGACACCCATAATTAATCACTGCATAATTCTATAGGTTGACGTTTACCTGAGAATTATTCCCGTATCTCAGGTTCCTTAGGCGAGTCGTTCACGATCGAACATTAACTAATCTTCGTACGATGCAAGAAAACTCACCAGATCAGCCGTCTGACCACCCTTACATGAAAAAAAAGTCGAAATCTGACCTTAATTCCACGTTCTATCTTTCTTCTAGACGCAAGAAGAAGGAGAAATATCATTAGACTCAGGCTTTGATTGAGATGAGACTTAGTTGTCATGTAATGGACACACCCGCTGGATCTGCATCTCTTCAGAGGTCCAGCTCTCAGCATTCTTATAACTCTACGAAGAGCACTCGATCACAGACTGTCCGAATTCGCCCTCGAAAATATGCTTCATATATGTCAAGTTCCACTTCCTCAATCAATACATCTACGTCGACTTCTGATAAATCATTGACATCCTTTCCATCCTTTTCTCCAGAGAGTAAATCCAATCTACCTCAAGCAAATAATATTGATGGGATAAACGCGACAAGTATTCCAAAAAACCCAGATATTACTCCAATTAATGCTGACGAGGCTGTGGTCACATCTCCAGCTTCAAAAGCTCGCAGTGCCCTTTTTGACGATGCGCCCATATCAATCAAGCGCGTACCTGGCGCAATCCATAATTTGACGACACAGCAAATCGAAAATTTGATAGCGCGCAATGGAGCCGTATCTCTGATAAGACAGATTGCTGAAGACTTAGCTGAACGAGATACACAAATTGCCAATATTCGTCGAAAATCAGAGGAAAAGGAAAGAGCCATGCGAAAAATAATACTTCAGTGTGGACTGTCAAACCTAGACCTGGAGATCAGACTGCGTGCCATCGAGGGAGAACAAAAAGCCGTCACTGAGGCTAACAGTAATAAGGAGTCAACTACTGGACTAGAAGATTTAATGAGTGACGCAATGAGAAGTACAGTTACTCTAAATAAATACAATATCAATAATGATGCAACCATTCGTGCCGTGGATAAGCTTAGAGCGCTGGATGAAAAACCTCGAACTATGTCTAGAGGTTGGAGAGGCTTTTTATGGGGTGGGACTAGTCGAAAGCCAAGTCGAGCAAGTAGTGTGAATGACGATTACTATGCCTGTGTTGAATCTAAACCTTCAAGGTCAGGTCCAACAAGTTCTGGCCGAAAAACTGTTCTGCAAGATGGGTTATTTCAAGCCCCAGAGGCTGTTTTTGATAAATCAAATGAGTTAAACCAGCAGTACGAAGCTGAAGATAAAACCAACAATGAGCGAATATCCCCTATGGGAATTACCGCGCTAGCATTAAAACTTGTGACTAGTGCGGTACCCTCTGGAAGAACATCAGAAACAGATGTCCCTCGTGGCCGCTCTAACAGCTTCGAGGTCTCACTGAAAAGCGATCGGGAATCGTCTGTTGCGAGCATGCAGACAACCACATCAGTGAGGACTATTTCTTTGAGATCAGCTCTAGTAAAAGTTCCACCTGAATCTATCGCTGGCTTACGTCGCCCAGTAAAATCTACTACGGTGAGCCAGAATAATATTTCAAGAGCTTCTCATGATCGTTGTAGCACGACAGGATTATCAAATTCACAGGTAACTCCATCGGGTACTAAGCAAGAGTCAGATAATTCTGGGCCAGTTGAAATGGATACAATCCTGCCGCTCGAGGAACAACCGCCAATATTGACGCGGGTAAATAACTTTCATAATAATCAGGAATTTTTAACTGATCGATTTGGTTTTATTTATGATCAACGACGGAAGAATCGAAAAAAGGGCGCCGGGGTAATGCAGACATCGGAGCGAGTGAATAGAGTTGAAACATTAAGTAGTACCCGGAGCACGTTTTCTGCGAAATCCAATGATGAAACGACAGCTGAAGAGAATGATGCAAAATCTAGTGCTTCATTCTCTATTGAAGGAGCTAGTGATGAACAAATGCCAACTAAACGATGGCAAGATTATCTTAAAATTGCAACATTTCCCACCGAGCTTCTCTCGCACACTCCATCTGTCGAGGCTCCAGCACTTCAAATACTTGAAGGAATTGAAGTCCCGAAATCTCCAACTATTGTGACTGAAGGAAGAGGCTTCGTTCCATTAGCAAGTACCACTGCCTCGCAACCCGCTATGACTGTGACATCGGATCATGCGATTATATCAAAATCGATAAAACCTGCGCCTTCATCTCCAGAACCCTCCACCGAAGATACAGAGCCAGTTAAGCTTCTTCTAAAGCAGCTTGGAGATGTCCATGATTCTCTACAACGTGAAAAAACTATTAAATGGAACGATTTCCTCCGAAAAGTTCGAGCTGAACGCAAACGAGAAGGAGAGGCTGCTGCTACTGCTGATTCTAGATCTCCAAAGATTTTGGTAAGAATGCCAGAGGCAACTCTTACAGATGGCGAAATGATTGGGGTAGCGGGTTTGGGCAATAAAGGAAAGGTAGGGCGAGCAAAGTGGAATGAATTCAAGGTGCTTGTACTTGGTGGAATTCCGGTGACGTACCGCGCTAAAATATGGTCAGAGTGTTCAGGAGCTGCTGCGTTGAGAATCCCAGGATACTACGAGAGTCTCATAAGTCGGCCAATTACTGATGATGATCCGGCCATACTTGCACAAATTCAAATGGATATAAATCGCACACTTACCGATAACATATATTTTAGAAAAGGAACAGGTGTTAACAAGCTCAATGAAGTTCTCTTGGCCTACTCCCGACGTAATGCTGATGTTGGGTATTGTCAAGGCATGAATCTTATTACAGCATGCCTCTTGCTAATTATGCCGACTGCTGAAGACGCATTTTGGCTTCTTGTCAGTATAATTGAGACTATTCTACCGAAAGGATATCATGACCATAGCTTACTAGCTTCGCGTGCGGATCAACAAGTTCTTCGGCAATATGTAGCCGAAGTTTTACCAAAACTCTCCTCGCATCTAGATAACTTGAGTATTGAACTCGAGGCTCTTACGTTTCCATGGTTTCTGTCAGTATTTACTGACTGCCTCTCAGCCGAGGCTCTCTTTCGTGTATGGGATGTGGTTTTTTGCACCAATGATGGCAGTACATTCCTCTTTCAAGTTGCGCTTGCTTTACTGAAACTAAATGAAACACCTCTACTCCAGTGCCGAACGGCTGCCAGCTTGTATACATATATTAATCATCAAATGACAAATCATGCCATTAGCATTGATGGTTTGATTCAGGCTAGTGAGGGACTAAGAAAAACCGTCCGTCGCGAGGTGGTAGAGGCGCGACGCCTTGATGCTATAGACAGCGAAAAACATCGGTTACGGCATGGACGCGACTTCCACCCTGCACACAGCACGCCTCGAACAACAAAGTCAGGAGCAGTAACCTCTGGGGCTATGATTGAAAGATAACAGGGCTTGAACAGTGGAGATGGAAAATCAGGGCCCTCTATAAGCGGACAGGTTAGGCACAGGTCTCACGAGATATTTATGGGGAGTTTCTGGGTTCTAATGTAAAACCAGTCGAATCGCACAGGTCAAGTCGAGCCTCTCTAGTTACCTGTCATCTATGGTACGCACACAGTACATTGTTGTTCTACGCGCTACCTTATTCTTTTCAGCTGCTGTACCTGTTCTTACCCCGCTTGTAGCTGTCATACGCTCGCATAAGTTTGTGTATATATGTACATAATCGAACACGTGTTCGATCAAGTGATCACAGCTGTATGTGCAAAACTCATGGGTTCCCTGCCAAGTCATCGCTACTGTCGCTGCTGCTACTACTATCACTACTACTGCTGCTTCTACTACAGCTACGATCATGACGGACGGGCAGAGGTGGTCGCGTAGCCGTGAGATAGTCGGCTTCGAGCATAAACTCGGCTGGTAGATTCGTAAAAGAATGGGGTAGTACGTAGACAGTGGGGAACTCAAGGAGATGGCGCCGCACAAGGATATCGGTAAGGTTAGCAGCTGGATCCATGGGCACGAGCACGGTAGGATAAGAGGCGGGTGTAAGGGGTCGATGAAGGTAAAGATCATATGCTCGCGAAGGCGGATCAAGCAAGGGCGCCTCGGCATCTCCAGCCGGTGTGAGATTTTGGGTTATCGGAGATAGAGACCAGGTATGGCTCGTGGCATCTTGTAAAGCGGCAGGTAGGGAATTCCAGGTCGCTAGGGATTCATCAAGTTTGCGCCGCTTATTTGCCCGCTCCTTGACATCGTCTGCTCTCCTCTTCTTCAACTCTCTCCGCTCTTCTTCCGTCATGTTCAGACGCCGTTCTTCCTCACATAGCTGTTCATACTGCTCGGCAATCGGTCTGTTGCCAGCCACTTTGTAGAGCGCTCGCCCCGCTTGTCCCACTCTTAGCCACTCGACCTGCCAGTCAACCGTCTTACGCTTCCGGTTCCAACTCGTCGTATTCTCCTTGTTCCGTCTCATACCCTTGGGTGCCTTGTGTAGTGTGATATTCTTCTCTTCCATCACTTGGCGTATACAGGCTTCGCCTGGCACTTCGTGCTTAGGTCGCGGCCGCTTATTTCCCGACCGCTCACCTAGACGCGCCCGATCCAGCTCCTCTCGCGTCACCAGGCTTAGATCTTCGATAAGAACCTTTTCCGAACGAGATATTCCATGCTCGATGGCATGCAAGAAGTTGTAATCGTGATCAATGCCGGATGGAGTGGCGAGCTGGGACATGGGCCGGTAGACGGTAGGGTCGCGAACGCCATTGCAAGATGACCATATTTTGTGGCGTTTTGAGCAGGTGAGTGAGCAGGTTGCCGCGAGACAGCGGGGACAGGTGTAGATGGGGTCGTCGATATGGCATATCGTACATAGAGCTGTTAGTAGTGGATCATCCATTACTCCGGATCCTTCTAGTCAGTCGGCGTTGTCGAAATACAGGTATGGTCTTGACGTGGCAGGGTAGTGCTAGTACAATTGGTTTATTATCGTGCTGGTCAGAAGGCGACTAGAATTTTCTTCGCTCTAGCTGGCATTGGCATTGGCACGTTTGATGTGACAGCGCGTTCCCGACAGAGACTTGCCCTCTAGAATAGCATTAGCGCGTATGCCAGGATTCTCCCGCTCTGAGAACGCGATATCCCTGTCCGTCAAACACATTCATAGACCAAAGGACGAAGGCTGGACAACTATCAGTGGTGTCCTACATGAACCCGGGAGTGGAATATTATCCCAGAGACGATATTCAGTCACGACAAAGCGTGTATTCAAAAGATTTCGTCGAGGCATTTATGGGGAGGAGCGGTGTTGGCAAGTTTTTGGTCGAAAACCCGACCTGCAGAGGTTTCACGGCCGCACAACACAGCGAATTCAATCACCTACACCCTAGCTATGGTCTACAGACAAGATGAAGCCTGTCTCATCTTCATATTAAAATAACTCAGTAAGCTCATCATCTCAAATTCGAGGAAGATCTTTCCCAGCTAATTCATCTCGCGACCCACCGAAGCATTCCAAGATCCAAAAGTCATACACGCAATCTAAGCTCCACGTGAAGATCTATCCCACCACAACAGTCGAAGTACCGGCCTTAGAATCGTCCATACCTCGGTCAAGAGCACTAACAACTCGACCAGTAACGAATCACCACCGCCGAAATTTCGGAGGCATAGCAACTAAGGCATTCGAAAAACGTGAGGCTTGGGTGCCTCAGTCTTGAGCTCTTCGACCTATATTCGGCCTCTACGGTTAGGGACACGGATGCGACTGGGTAAGGCCTGGGGGATAAAAAGTATCATAATATTCGGAAACTGCGTCAAGCACTGAAAGATTAAAGAGTAGCAACAATGGAGGGTTAAAGGGAAAACTGAGGATGCATCTGTGGGTGATTGGATAAAGTCTCCCATGAAAAAGACGACTCTAGGATGAGAAGAGTTGACGCCGGGACGAAGTATGGCTGGAACTCATAGGAAATGACAAAATAGAGGTTATGAGGGTGTAAAGGACTCGAGCGCGTGGTTGTAGAGGCTGAGGAAGGAGTTGCGCTTCGGCATGTAAAAGTCGGGTCTTCTGGACGGTTGGACTTGATATATTTAACACTTGGGTGAAGTCTAAGATGGTCCGGTCATTTAGAAAGGACTAAGTTTATTGTTACGGCGTGCTATAGGGTAGATCGAGATCGCCCTTCGCCGAGGGTATAAAAGGTCAAGTGGTGAATACTATAGAGGTGGAAAGTCAATGAAGTACTATGGCTAGAAGGAAGCGGGTTTGCGAGAGGAATACTGTAATAATATTATAAGATTGTGAAGCTGGAGAACTACTTTGTTGTAGCTCCAGCTTCCTTAAGTACAAATAACTATCTAACGTAATTCAACTAAGACTGTTGCAATTTCCCATCATGACTCAAACTGTGACCTCAACCATATCAATTCCAGTTGGCGCATTATCTAGTCTCACCATATAAGTGCTAGTGTTGAGGGTGAGTCAAAAAACCTGTTCCGTGAATTTTATCCTCAGGCATTCTGCTTAGACTCTGGTTCCAGAATGTCTCGCCATGACATTTATGGTACTTATCTGGTAGTTAACCTGATCCAGCCCAGCCCCACTCGTTCCTAAGCTCCTACGGAAAAGCGGAGGATAGCAAGTGCCTAGCACGTTGATAAACCAAACCAATCCAGGTGGTTTATCATAGCTCCATCCAAATATGTCGGTTTTTATAGCCTCGGTTGCAATCCCGCAATGGAAGTCGTGGCACGCATAAGGCCCAATTTGGAAATTTATTTCACAAACATCGAAATTTATTAACCTTCAAGATTATTTCCACCTTTTGCATCACCCTACCCATCAATCCTAATATTTCTTACGTCAATTACGAATATCTGCCTCTTGGATTTGTGCGTATTACGGGACTAATGTTGTGATCAGGCCCAGATATCTTTTACGAGTTGAAATGGCTAGTAGGAAGCAAGTGTTTCCGACAGGACAAGCGATCCTGTGTCAATGGTACGTCGACACACAGCAATGACAACACAAGTATCTCAGCCATAAATGATAATATAACTCAAGTATATCTATTGATGTCATCGTTGAATGGCTGAACAGCTGGGAGTTATTATCATTGATGTTATATTATGTATACATTCTATGTATATAAATACTCGCCATTAGACCAAAGTACACGATCAACCTTTCACTCTTATTTTAATAGTCATCAATGTAGCAGATCTGCAATCTATATCTGTCCTATTCAAGTTAGACTTAAAGCTCTGGCCCATATCTACTCACGCAGACTGTTATACCCATAGCGACAATACTTAGGCTTCTAAAAACCTCGTTATGACAATAATTACCCGTTTTTGGTTGTCTGGGCTGACCTGCGTGCCCAGGCTTGCGTATAATCAGTGTATGGCGAAAGACTCAGCCTTTCGTACTGAGCAGGATCCTTTGGGATTGCTTATGTAAGGTGATGGTTAGGGTGCACTTTATGTTCGCACAATCCTATTGTAGTTTTCTTTCTCATAGAAAATTTTAATTGTTTTATGGTATTGCTTGCGTGCAGCAACCTTTTACCCTAACTGTTAACAGTGCGCCACGATTGTTTTCCTCTATCGGGTATAAATACCGTCTTGGGCGAATATTTGGAGGCCACTGAAGGCCAGAAGCTGATTTGACAAGAGGTAAGGTCATAGAAATGGTGACATACTAGTACGAACTTGTAGACTTGATAAGATTTTGGGTGGAATCGAACTTGTTAGGTGTAAGATATTTTTTGGTTGGGAGAAGTGAGCCAACTTGTCCGTTGTCGCTAAACTTGAATATACTTGGCTCTGGGAGAATATTTCACTTGTAAGTACGCGAAGGACAGGTGTTCAGTTTTTGTCTTTCATGGCTATTCATCATAGGCATTATATTGGAGCTGCTTTCCGCAAAATAAGCGTATAGGAGCGCTGTACAAGGTGTCTCTAGGTACAGAGAGGAGCCTAATGTGCTAGATAATCTCTGACTCAAATGCTAAATTTTAAACCTGAACCAAAAAATATCTGCCTCTGCACTAGTCAAACTTAGGACCAGTCTTTCCACATACTATAACCACTTTCATTTACCTAGACTCCAATTTCAACGCCATCACTCAATCACCGGTTTAACAATCCAAGCTAGCCTTATTGTTGTTCTGAGATGCTAGGCAACTTAGTTATGATGGCCACCATACCAATCCACCGAACCAATTCTCACTGCTTTTTGTTAGTTGTTAAACTCTCAAGGTCAAGATGAGCTCACTCTTTATGGGGTGAAACACTTTGATACGTGACTCCCAGAGAGTGCATTCTGATTACAATTTGGTGGTCGGTCCCGGGCTTTTTGGGGATGAATCTTGATAATCGTGCAAGAGGCAATTCAAGTGGGACTTGGTTTACTGTTGTAGTAAGGAAAAGTAGGGTTTTCCATCTAGTTGATAACCAGGAGGATCCTGTTGGAGAAATCTTTTCGTTTTATTACTATGCGAGAACTGGCCGATAGCAGGACCAAAAAGTTTTGACAATGTGGACATTTTCCGACCGGATCCAGCCTTTTTCTCGACTGGAACCGGAATTATGGTCGAAACTTTCTCCATGGCATTTTCAATGGTTCCTGTGCGATGAGTTAGATTTACACTGCTGCCACTGATGAACTACTCCATGAAATAATTACCCCTCATGCTATCAACCAAGGTATCAACCTTATCTTCGAAACGGAACCCGTCCAAGTTTTCCAAAATTTTCGTACCAATAGTCTTATTGCTTGAGCGGCGGTCAACATTTGGTCCGATTGGCAAAGCCATGAGCCCAATGATCATAAGGGCGAAAGCTAATAAGAATCGCATTTTGAGGAATTTTTGTTCTAAAATAAATTTGGTAATAAGGGTAAATGGAGCAAGTTCGAGAAAATTGAGTAGATGTATGTTGGATAAGATAGATACTTTCTGAAAGGATGTGAGAGAAAAGCTCTTTATATATACTGAAGCACCCTCATATTAATTTTCAGAAGCTTTCTCTCTCTTTACCTATATGAGATACAACTGGCCAGAGCAAAAAGCTAACAAAATGAGCTGGCATCAAGTGCGTAGCTTTTCTGACCGGAGCTGTCTTTGCCGAATAAAATTGTTCTTGTTTAACACTATTCTGACTGATATTAACTCTCCCGGAAAGGAATCACGCCCTGCTCTTTAGTATGGGTGGCGATAACGTCCAGTGACTAGTGTTCTGGTCCTATCGTAAATTTGGGTAAGATAGCCCAAGGAAGCGACATATTTCCGCCACCTCTAAATCCGAACTCGTATATAAATTTCATTTTGCAATGCTGTAGTCATAAGAGTTAGTGCAGAATTTTTGTATTTTCGGGTTGTCGTTGAAGTCTTGGGAAAACGGAAAATGGAAAATTAGCTATATTTCATGCAAAGCCGTTGAATTCAAATCCAGTGACTCGAGGCGAGAGGGGTGAGGATGGGCGTATTGGATTCCCGAAATTAACTGACGTTGAAAGAAGAGGACTAGAGGAAAAAGGCTGTAACTGGATAGTTCCTTCCTTGGTATAGCTTGCGATGTGGGCAAACAACTCTTAGCTTTATTGTTTCCCGGTATTAAAATATGAAGATACGAGTACTATAAACTATTGTGGCAACTGCTTGTAGTAATTGATGATAAAGTGTCTAGTTCTGTGAAGGTGGCGACGTCCAAGATGACTAGTTTTGCCCGTCAATTATCTGAAGACTTTTGGCCAGTACATATAGCTCAATTCAGAATAGCATTTGTCAGGGGCTAATCTGGCAACGCACTGTATGGCTTCATTTTAATCTTTTACGTCGACTTAAATTTTAGACCCTAATAAAGTAGCCCAGCCCATGAAAGGCCTATCTTACCATGTCTCGTTCCAACTGTTGGTAGTGGAGAAACAAAGTATTTGGGGAGTATGGGCCTCCAATTCGTCTAGATTCCCGACACGATTTTCTGTGTTGAATGAGTTGAAATTTGTAATATGACAGCTTTAAGACTACCCAATGGATAAATGAGTGGCTATTGGGGGTTTCTGTGTCTAGATGGCGCCACAATGGTTCATGCTCTGGCTTAGTTTCTTTGTCGCTCACACTTGTACTCACAACGGATATTCACACTCTTTTCGAAGTAAACTAAATATGAACAAGTATTAGCTAACTTATTCTCTCGTTCCAGGAACAATGCGTCCGTTTCATTGTGCGATATTTCCAACACTTCCATCATGCTAGGGTCTTTCTGACATATTTGCCGTTTGGGAACAGATCCGGATTTGTTGGAAATTGTCAAGGATTTCTAGGAGGACATTTCTCGAAGAACAAGTGTGCAATTTCGGACAAGAGTTTGTTGTAGTTGTATAGGATATTGAACTCGCTTCTCAATATGAATTAATCGTATATTAAGTTCCATTAACCTAGTCTCACACATACAATGAGTCTCTCATTAAATATAGATCCCCAAGGCTTTAGTGATCCCGAACTCCCAGCGATCTAGCAACAACCGGCCACTCAATTATCGCAAGGTAGCATTTCCTAGCCACTGCATTTCAGATACCACTGAACCTCATGTTGCCCAGCTAAGCTTAACCAAATTCAATCGGATCAATTGAATTGATCTAAATGATCATACTTAGAAATCTAAACCTTCATATATAATAAGTCTAGATTTCCAACGGGATTTGTGGCAACGCTGACCGGATTTGTGTTCCATACTTGTAGTATTCTAAGCCTGGGGCGACGTCTTGACTCCTGTGACCTAAGCCACAGCTTAAATATTGCTCCAATCCTCTTTTATATTGTAAAGATGGAGAGCGACTGTGATGCGATGATGATAGAGAAAAGTATCAGTGGGCGTAGAGAAGAGTACGAGTCTGGCAAATATATAAGATATATATCTATAATATGTACAAAGATGTGATTATGTTTTGTTGCTAGACTTATACTCTTCTCTTCGCCCACTGAAACTCTTCTCTATCATCATCGCATCACAGTCGCTCTCCACCTTTACAACAGGTTATGAGCCCGGTTTGTCGCCTCGATTCTAGCTGACACTCTTTACAACAGAACTAAGCAACATTGTTCACTTCATCCACAACCCCAATCTCACCACCACAGATAAAATTTAACGTGTCTAATCTAACCACGCCTAAACAGTTGGCAGTCTTAAGGCAAATCTTCCAATCCTTACCGGCCAAGCTAATTTCAGAAGCTGGTATATTACATGGTTTATTGTCTTACGTGGGGCGGAATACTGGCAAGTTGTGAGTGATGGTGTAGATAAGGAAACGCGTCCTGTCGCCGATAATAATGAGCCATCAGAAAAAGTTTTGGAACAACAGAGGATTTATGACAAACGTAACAATGCTGCACACGCTGCACTATTGGCTGGAGTGTCCGAACAACTTCAAGATATAGTCAGCTGCTGTGCAACTTAAGAAGAATCTGCTCGAGTAGCCATGCGACTTCTCAAAGAAAAGTTTGACTATGAAACAACAACTTCAACTCTTGAACTCTTTAACAGCTTCCTTGAATTGAAGATGGAAGAAGGGGAAGCAATTACAGATCATCTCTCTCACTATGAGACTTCCTTTCAACACATTTACTCTAGATGTGCGGAATTAACTCGCCCTGAAGCAATTGCATTGAAGTCTTTTCTCTCAGTTGAATAAGTCAAGTTTATGTGTCTTTTTCGATCATTACCAAGATCCCTCGAGAATGTAAACGACAACTTATCAACAAAAGAAAATATCAAGTTTGCGGAAGTCAAAAAACGATTACTTGACCTCAATCTTCAAAGTCTTCGTTGGTAAATAACTCCTCTTCTGAGACTTACCTTACAATCAATGAATCTCCCATCAACAAATACTTCAACAAAAGAAAGAAGATAAAGGAATGTAATTGGTGCAAAAAGTTAGGACATTACTACCAGGGCCACGTGCATTCAGAATGTCGCAGGTTGAAAGATCAGAAAGAAAAAGAGAAAAATGAAAGAGACGAAAAAACTTATCAGGCACATACAGTTCTTCGGACAAATCATATAATATCAGCGCACCTGGAGGATACATCAATGAAAAGGCTCTAACTGCTAATACAACTAGCACATTACCTTCTCATTGGATTCTAGACTCTGGCAGCTCAGCCCATATGACATCCTAAAAAGAGCTTTTCTCCAACCTAAAGAACCACCAAGGAACTGTTACGGTAGCTAGTGGTACTTAAGTCCCGGTTCGTGGTCGGGGAACCATTCATCTCGATCTTCGAACTTGTAATGGTGATCCCACTGCCGTCGCACTCGAAGATTTTCTCTATAACCCTGACTTGAAAGGTGGAAATCTTATTTCTGAGAGTAAGCTGGAAAGAAATGGATTATCTATCAGGTCATATAGTGGTGTACGTCGAGCTGTGAAAGATGACAAAGAATAGATATGTGCTAAATTAGATTCCTCTGATCAATTTTCTATTCAGGAAGAGAAATGTAAATCTTCGTTTGCCTCCTATCTTGAGGCCCATGAGTGTTTTAGTCACCCTGGTCAAAATACCATGCATCAATTGAAGCGACAGTACCCAAATTTAATACCCAGCAAACTAGATCGATTTCATTGTCCCTCATGTATACTCCCCAAATCCATCCATACTACTGGAAAATCTAGGGAGAAACGATCTCAAAAGTCGTTTGAAATTATTCACACTGACCTCTCTGGAAAGTTTTCTGTTGAATCCCTTGGCAAAAAGCAATACTATATCTCATTTATTGACGATTTTACTCGGCACGCTTGGATATACTTCCTTCGTAATAAATCTGATGCCTTTGAAGCTACAAAAACTTTGTCAAGCGAATAAAAAATCAATATCAAGTCAACATCAAGAAAATTTTCTCCGACAATGGCGGAGAATACATAGATGGTAAAGTTGAACAGATTTTAAAAGAATACGGTATTGATCATAAGTATTCTCCTCCTTACGAACATGAGTTGAATGGAGTAGCAGAACGCTTCAATAGAACAATTGCCACTAAAGCTCGAACACTCCTCATCGAATTTCCCAAGTACCTTTGGGCAGAGGCGATAGCCACATCTGTCTACCTAAACAACAGGAAACCTCATCGGATGATCTCATACCAGTCTCCGATCGAACTACTTGACGAAATATCATCGCCTTTGGTATCACATCTCATGCTTTTGGATCTAAGGCTTACGTTCATATCCCAGAAGAGGCAAGACCAAGCAGATCTAAACTTAATCCCCGAGCGCTGGAAGGTATCTTTGTTGGCTTTACTGATTCTCCTAAAATATTTAGGATATTTATACCAAGTAAATGAACAGTTCAGGTTACTCGACAAGTCATATTCCCGACTCTCGAGCTAGGAGAAGTTCTTAAAGACTTAGCAGGAATTTCTTCGAATTTCAAAACCACTAACATATCTACTCTTAAGCCAATCAATGCTCAACCAACTCCGCCAACTTTTGAAGAAATATCCAAACGCCCCCATACGCCAGATTCACCATCATTGTCTGGAACATTATTTGACTCGCCTTATTCACTATAGCCATTCCTACAAGTAGTTTCACCATCTGAGACTACCGATAGTGAAGCTGTGAACTGGGGAATACAACCGACTCGAAAAAGTTCTCAGCTACGCCGACAAGTGGATCCTGGCCCTGGTATGGTTTCAAACTCCCAGAGGTATCACACAGATGCTGTTAAGATAGAACCAAAGACCTACAGCCAAGTAATAAAAGGTAATGACTCTGAATTATGGAACACAGCAATTGAGGAAGAATTAGATGCTCTCAACAGGAACGAAACTTGGGAAGTCGTTGCTCGACCAAAAGATT